GGCAAGGGCTTGTCCTGTTCGCAGGGGACACAAGTGGCAGGGAACTTGGCGGGAGCTTCAGCATTTTAGCTGTGGGCAGGCACCCTCATTCGCACACGCCACACTCTTGCCTTCCCATATTTCGTGAGCCCACCTGTGTTTCGAGCGGCCCCTCTCTCGCTACGAGCAATGTGCTTCCCCAACCCACCAAAAAACCAGGGGGTTGCTTCCAGAAGTTCTAGTCTATATCATCAAAGAGAGACCAACCCAACACAGGCACGGCGACTTTGTCTTTCCTACCAGCAACCAGCGTGGCGATATATCTAGCCGCTGAGAAGAGTGGTGCGAGGCCCGTGGTTAAGCGTTGTTAGGAAAAACTTTTCTGGGTTATCTTGGGGAGGGTTTCATTGCTAATCAAATTCCTATCATGCATTTCTTAAACTTCCCTGGAATGACCTTTTTCGGCCTAAATGAAATTTGAGATGGAGAAAGAAGAGAGACACATTGGCGGAACTAATGAAAGCTAAGATAGTGGAGTCACTCCAGCCAACTTGTGTGGTTACTTTGTACTTAAAGTTTCAATATTTTTCCCAGGTACTTGTGTATTACTGAAACAATTGCATCCTCCAGGGTAAGAAAATGAAACAGTTCATTATCTGTGTCACATACAGTTCATCAGGGGGACCCACGATAATCACAGGGTATGGATTGGTGATTCCAGCTCTTAAAAATGTTCATCATACTGATAAGCATTTAAGAAGACTAATATTTATCTTAGGCAACCTCAAAATGGCTAATAAAGCACTGATAAGGGTATGGGGCGGGGCAGAAATAGAGAAGAGCATAGACAGGTGTCAAGACCCGCATCTATAATTCGAACCCATATCTTCCATTCTGGATGTATACAAAGATGTTATTACTATTCAGAAATATTTATGTCAGCTTACTTACTTTCACAAAAAAAAATTGAGGGAAATTTCTCCTTGGCTGAAGAATGAGGGAATATATAGAACAAAATATTAGCGTTGCCATAAAGTTTGAAATTTGTTGTAATGACATGGAAATGCTTATGAGTATAATATGGGATGAACAAAGCAGATAGACCTTGGTTTTAGGGTGATAATCTACAAATCCTAATGGTGACATATAATTAATACCTTTTAATAAAAGGCTGAAGGAATTTATTGAAATATTATTGTGTGTTTTCTTCATGGTGTTGGAATTACAATAAATGGTTTTTGTGTGTTTTGCTTGGCTGTATTTCTCTAAAAACTGGATGTGTTAATCATGATATATATTGCTACTCAGGGGGAAAAACTATTAAAGAAATGGAAAGCAGAAAAATCCGTACTTGGGGGTTTGAATATATGCTAGGTAGTTAGATAGAGATATATTAGATGTACATTACTAATTTATTGCTATATGTACGATTTAGACATATGATGGGCTAAAAGTTAAATATAATATGTTTGGATACATAGCACAATCTGCCCTATTACCTCTTAGGCCAACAGGTAGGCCTAATGAATCCCAAAGATGTACTGGCCAAGACCACTGTATGGTTAAAGGACACCCCTACTACCAACTAAATTGACAGGCGTAGGTAGGGTATCCCCATGGTGTATGAAGCACCCATCATGGGGTGTTGCAATGGGGCAGGACTGGAATAGCATTTGTTCTGCAAATAAATATGAGTTTATATTCTTTGCTTTACCACAGAATTTGAATCATTCGGGCGGTCACATATGGGCACTTTGAGAGTTCAAATGTTATTTTAATTCATTAAAAGGAAGATAATACATTTTTTTATAGATGCTTACTTGGAGAAACCGCCGGTTGCTTGTATTTTAAAAATGCTACTTAGGCCGGCCGAGGTGGCTCACGCCTGTAATCCTAGCACTTTGGGAGCCGAGGCGGGCGATCGCTCAAAGTCAGGAGTTTGAAACCAGCCTGAGCCGAGACCCCATGCTCTACCAAAAATAGAAAGAAATTATGACCCAACTAAATATATATATTACAAAATTAGCCGGGCATGGTGGCGCATGCCTGTAGTCCCAGCTACTCGGGAGGCTGAGGGCAGTAGGATCGCTGACCCGGAGATTGAGGTTGCTGTGAGCCAGGCTGACTGCCACGGCACTCACTTCTAGCCTGGGCAACAAGTGAGACTCTGTCTCAAAAAAAAAAAAAAAAAAAATGCGCCTTAGTTTGTTTTGGTATTATTTTTGAGTATTCTTACCCTCTAATTCCCTGAACTGATTTACAAGATATTACCCTTCTAGTTCAGGGGCAGGAACAAAAGCCAAATAAATAAATAATAAATATGCCTTGTATGCGTACTTACGAACTGCTTAGGGGTGGTTAGCTCAATCGTCTCAGCGAGCCCTAAACAAGGCATGTTTTGCCTAGTGCTGTGTAAATTCACGTGTCCTTTTGCTTGCAGTAACCACGATATTGGCCTACCAGTTATGGGCCTTCCCGGATTTCTCTCTAGGTTGGTTCTCAGCTCTGACCCTCCACTTGGTGTGAATTGCTCCTTTGTCAGGCTAATGATTCATATCTACAATCCTCAGGGCTTATGGCGCTGGAACCTAGGAAGCCATAGTAAATTATAAACTGTTCACACTTATCTTTTGGAAAAACTTGTTGTAATTATAACAGGGTGTTTGGTTCCACCTTTCTCTCTTCGGGTGACTTTTTTAATCATGTTCTAGTTATTTGGTTCTGTTTCTTTAGGCAGTAATTTTTCAATCTTGAGGCAGCTTTTAAAATTCTTCTAGTGGCCCCAGGTGTTATGGCGTAGGGACCAATGTCAGTCCCACAAACTCCAGGCAGAGCCAGGAATCAGCCTATTTGGTAAAATCCCAAGTATTGTGCAGACGAGGTCGTTTTATGAGAACCCACCACTTTAAGGATAGATGGGTAAGGGCCTTTGAAAAGAGCAGATTAGTAGTTGGTGATGGTTGCGCAAACAATATGATGTACTTCGTACCCACTGAATGTACCAACTTAGAAGAGTGTTTAGATGGCAAATTTTGATGTTATGTGTATTTTACCACGCAATAAAAAATTTGGGAAAAAAAGGGACATTCGTATGGATCTACGCTGTCCAAGTACGTAAGCCATGGCCACATGGTTTCAAACTGCTTGAAATATGGCTAGTTTGATTGAGATGGAGGTGTAGAAAATCAACATCAGATTTTGGAAGTCTTATTGCGAATAAAGAAAGGAGAAGAATATTTGTCACTAGTAATTTTTTTTTTTTTTTTTTGGACAGTCTCACTTTGTTGCCCCAGGGCTAGATGAGTGCCGTGGGCTCAGCCGGCTCAACAGCAACCTCAACTCTTGGGCTCAGCAATCCTTACTGCCCCAGCCTCCGAGTAGCTAGCACTACAGGCATGCGCACCATGCCCGGCTAATTTTTTTGTATATATATTTAGTGGTTCATTAATTCTCTTCTATTTTGGTTAGAAGATCTCGCTCAGGCTGGTTTCAACTCCGAACCTTGAGCATCTGCCGCTGGGCCTTCAGAGTGCTAGGATACAGGGCGTGAGCGCACCGCGCCCAGTTTCACAGTTTTTCTTAATTGCTAACATGCTAAGACAGTATTTTTGATTTTTAGGTTAAATAAATATATTGAAAATTAATTCCCCTCTGTTGATTTGTTTTTTTAATGCGGCTACAACAAAATATAAAATCACATATGTGGCCGCCATTGTTTCTATCGGACAGTGTTGCTCTAAATTTAAACCTGCCAGTAAATTAATTAAAAAGAGCTTGTAGATTTCACTTATTTTACACATACATTATCATTTGAAGAATGAGAAAAACATGCCAAGTGGGCTTGGGACCAGAGATCCTATCCTAAGCATGAAAATGTTTAAAGTACACAAAAATATTTACTCTGAGCCCTCAATACTATGTAAGCAACTACAATTGCCCCATTATTGGGTTAAAGGGACTCCAGAACAGCTAAGTGGTAATCCTGGTTCAGGACACTTGAGCTGATGCTGCAACCCAGTAAGTAACATCTTGGCCACTGGGCACGTTGGGAGCAGCAACTCTTCATACCTACCTTTCCTTACAACTAAATTTGGATGGTGATCCAAGATACCACTTTCCGGCTTCACTTGGATTTCATGAGAGTAGACGGACTGACTCTCCAGCGGTCCCCAACCTTTTTGGCACCAGGAACCAGTTTCACAGAAGACAGTTTTTCCATGAATCGGGTGGGAGTTGGGGGAAATGGAGCTCTGGGACCTGATCCCTAAGAGGCCCCAGACAGGTACCAGTCCACAGCTTGGGGGTTGGGAACCACAGCTCTAGTGCATAAAACATTCTGATATCTAATAGAGAAGCAGCACCAGGCAATTTCCTATTCCTAGTGGGAAATGACCAGGAATGGCCAGTAGGATACTAGATCACCTGCCTCGTAGGAATGCACCCTTGCTTCCCAGCGGAAAAGGACAAAAAACCCCATACACTTGGCTGAGCATGCCAAGGTGGTCTTGGGGAAATTAAGAGACAGACTCTCCAGGAACCTGTTCTGAAGTACCACCCTTGCCTAACCCAGCAGCACCACCGTTTGCCAAGTTCCCTTTTCATCCCTTCTCCCTTTCTCCTGCATGTTGCAGGGGCTTCCCCTTGCTCAGATCTGGGAAGGTTTTCATGAATGAAATGTAGGCATGACCCTGAGGCTTTAAGCAACAGTCTAATGGGACAGCATAATTGCTAGTAGCAACCAATAATTGCTTCTCAACCCATATTGTTATTTTTAATTGTCATCATCATTAATAATAGTGTGGATGAGGATGGCCTGGAGACTTTAGGTCAACAATCTTTCTAACAAGACATGGATCACAGAAAGCCCTGGCACTCCTTAATTACTCACAGCCAGCTGCTTTGTTTCCATTTCAAGGTTGACTATTCTGAAGATTTCTTTATGCCTTTGTGCATAGATTGCTATCATCGGAACCTGGCCAAGTTTGATATGCACTTTAATTTGACCTCTTTTTGTTTCTTAGAACAAAGGCAGAGTTAGATCAAGAAGCTTTGATCAGTGGCAATCTGGCTACAGAAGCAAATTTAATCATCTTGGATATGCAGGAAAACATTATCCAGGTGAGGACGACAAACACCTAATCTGATTTGTGCAATTTAAATATGTTAAGTAGAATTTAATAAAGAATTCTTTATACAAAATTGTGAAAGAAAACATGATCACAAAACTCTCTTTTTTAAAAAAATGAAGTTGGGAAGCTTTCTGTTTACAATAGTGTCCACCTTACAAATTCCAGAGATACCGAACATTCTTCTGGTTTCTTTGACTTACTGCTGACTTGGAAAAGGTCAGGTGTTTGACAAACTAACCCTCATGGTTAAATCTGCATGAATATACACAAAGTTTATAATGTGGGTGGTGGGCTTATAGTTTAGTATCTAGAACAGGGAGGGTAACTAGGTTTATTCTGATGGGTTAACTCCAGTTGAATAATGGTCCCTATATGGTATGGGAGCTATAATTGTGACCAGGCGAGGTAAAACGAGAGTGCCAAGTGTGATAAATGATGCCTGCCTTAGATTCAAATTGGTAAAGGAAAGTCATTTGTACCATGAATTTGCCATCCTTGCTACAGACAAGCATAGGGTCACTGTGACCTTTGCACTGCACTAATTTCATCTTCTGTATGATATTTCCAAATATTTCCAAGGAGCCTAGGTTATAATGAGTTTTTAGTTACCCTGAAAAATGAGTCCTTACCTATTTCCATTGAGAAGTCATTTATTAGAGTAGATTCAGTATTGCTTTTTTTTTTTAATTTTAGAAGGGGGCAGATATAAAAGATAGTATTGCTTTTTAGAGCTAGAGAAAATATTGTTGAAACAAGTGGCATGTGAATTATCTAACTTTTAAGTTGTTTAAAATCAAAGTAATTATTGTATAAAACTAAAGACAAAAAGTATGTGGTGTCTTTGATGACGTTTTGGCATCATACTGAGTATGTCTTTATACAGCTCAACTTTGAGTGCTACGTATCTAACACCAGTCCTCGAAACGTATGTGCAGTTTTCAAAGCAGCTGAAACTTTTTTGTTATTATCCTTGGTGTTGTTTGTTAGTCCTGCTATAGCTGATAAATAAGCTTCTATTTGGAAACATCGCTGCCACCAACCAGTCCCTGTAGTGCTGGGAAGCCCACAATTGTGTTTCAAAGCCCAAAGGAAAGCTTGTGTACAAAGAAAGAATATTCCAGAATCTGTCACTCAGAATGGGGAGAGATTATGCTTTACTGCTTCATTTAGGAGCCCAGAATTTGGTATAAATCCCAAATCAATTGGGAGTATTGAAGTAAAGTCATTTGGAAAGAGGTCTTCGGCTCTGATGGTTGACAGATGACACGTCAACCATCCATAAGAGCTCACCAAACCTTTAATACCTGCCACCAAAAGAGATGAAACATCAGAGTCTCTGTGCTGGTCATCAGCAGGGTCCCTGTGTCTCTACGCCCCCAGCTCACTGGCATAGTGCGGGGATTCAGTGATGCTGTTGTTCCATTCCCCTAGGCGACCTCGGCCCTGGACTGTAAAGACAGCCTGCTGGGAGGTGTTCTGAGGGTCCTGGTGAATTCTCTGAGCTGTGATCAGAGCACCACCTACCTGACTCACTGCTTTGCGACACTCCGTGCCCTCATTGCCAAGGTAAACGTGGGACGCTTGTTTTCTTACTCTTCATTAAGAGTAAGATTCTCATCTAGCTTCACACTTTTCTCTTCAGGTAGACCAAAACCTACAGAGTGCATTAAGTGGCATCGCAGTAAAGGTCTTAAGTCCTCCTAGGAAGAATACTGATGCACCAGTTCTATGGGAAGTCACCATGGAGAGAGAACACAGTGGCTCTCATACTTGGAATGTGGGCCTAAATCTGGAAATTTGAAATGCCTGCTCACTGAAGCTCTGGGACATGAGAGCAAAAATCGATTGAGCGACTTAGCAACTTCACCCTTTTTCTTTAATACCTCATCTGAGTGAGATTAAGCTCTATATCTGGCTCCCCTGAGTATCTTTTATAAAATGTCATGTCAGAAAATTCCCCAAGGTTTAGAAATGAATTTCTCATAGCCTAAAGAATGGAGATTATCCTTGAGTGAAATGGTCTACGCAGATTATTTTTTCCTCTTTTGTTGAAGATCTCAGTTGCTGCCTTCTATGCGGGATCTTTTAAATTTAGAAAGTAGAATTCTTCTGCTCACCCTTATCAGGACCATTTTCTCTTTCTCAGTCACCAGTAATTTCCAAGGAACTCAGGAAACTCAAGTTTAATTCCTTCATAGTTGTGACTTCACCAATGAACGCAAGCTGGCTAAGAATGCAGTTAATAACACAGCCCTGACCTTAGTTGTACAGTTCATAATTAAATTCTAAGTCGGCTCTATTGCTTAAATTCATCCTCTGACTCACGTAGCTCATTATCTTTATGAAGCAATGCATTAACTCTTCTGGGCTTTTTGCTTGTCCAAGCAGACATTTGCATATTTCAACAGTCCAGAAAGCATGTCATGGTGCCAAGTGATGTCTAATGGCCGCCTGTGTCTCTCCTAGTTTGGAGACTTGCTGTTCGAGGAGGAGGTGGAACAGTGTGCAGACCTGTGTCAGCGTGTGCTACACCACTGCAGCAGCAGCATGGACGTCACCCGGAGCCAGGCCTGCGCCACCCTCTACCTCCTCATGAGGTTCAGTTTTGGAGCCACCAGTGTAAGAGCTCAGACCAGCCGGGTGACCTAGAATAGTAGAGAAAATCAATGCAAAGCCCCAATCTGCCCGCCTTGGCCTCCCAGAGTGCTAGGATTACAGGCGTGAGCCACTGCGCCCGGCCTAACGATTATTATTTAAAAGCCTTTGGGACTGTGGTCCCCAGCCCTCAAACCACACACCAGTACCAGTCCGTGGCCCGTTAGGAACTGGGCCGTACAACAGGAGTGAGTGGAGGGCAAGCCAACAAAGCTTCAGACCAGCCGGGTGACCTAGAATAGTAGAGAAAATCAATGCAAAGCATAAGAAAAAGTTTGCAGTATTGCAGTATTGCAATTTACTTCTGTCCTGTGAGAAAGAAACAATTGAGTATCTAGATGGATAGCAGCTTTCATTTTAATTTGCATCTAAAAGTGAATGTCAAGAAAGATGAATGCAGTGGTTTCTATCAGTATGATTCAAAAAGAAGTAGAAGAATATATGTAGATTAAAAGTTCTCATCTGTGAGAATAAATGCAATAGATGGATTAAGAATTCAGAAGAATGTGTCCTGTTTCTAAATTCTGACTGGCTGGTACTAGAATGCCTGGTGAAAAAGAATTTTAAATGATCCATATCATCTAGACTTGAGTTTTAATCACAGCTAAAAAGCCTTTGGAATTCAGCTTTATTATAGAACAGTCAACATTTGCTTTCGTTTGTCTTGATTGTGTTGTGTCCTTTTGGAATTTCCATTTGTGGTTTATGTTAGTAAGCATGCTTACATGATATTAAAAGATAAATTGGCCCATGGAAGAAAGGCAAGGTTCTTAGAATATATTAACGATTATTATTATTTTTTTTTTGAGACAGAGTCTCGCTTTGTTGCCCAGGCTAGAATGAGTGCCATGGCGTCAGCCTAGCTCACAGCAACCTCAAACTCCTGGGCTCAAGCAATCCTCCTGCCTCAGCCTCCCGAGTAGCTGGGACTACAGGCGTGCGCCACCATGCCCGGCTAATTTTTTTCTATATATATTAGTGGGCCAATTAATTTGTTTCTATTTATAGTAGAGACGGGGTCTCGCTCTTGCTCAGGCTGGTTTCGAACTCCTGACCTTGAGCAATCCACCTGCCTCGGCCCTCAAACCACACACCAGTACCAGTCCGTGGCCCGTTAGGAACTGGGCCGTACAACAAGAGTGAGTGGAGGGCAAGCCAACAAAGCTTCATCTGTATTTACAGCTGCTACCCAACCCTTGCATCACTGCATAGCTCCGCCTCCTGTCAGATCAGTGCAGGCATCAGATTCTCATAGGAGTGAGAAAGCTACTGTAAACTGCGCATGCGAGGGATCTAGGTTGCACACTCCTTATGAGAATCTAATGCCTGATGATGAGGTGGAGCTGAGGCAGTGATGCTAGCGCTGGGGAGCAGCTGCAAATGCAGATTATCATTAGCAGAGAGGTTTGACTGCACAATACATGTAATGTGCTTGAATCACCCCAAAACCATCCCGCCACCCCCTGCCCCATCCATGGAAAAATTGTCTTGCATGAAACCAGTCCCTGGCACCAAAAGGGTTGGGGACCACTGCTTTAGGTCTTTCCTCAGGGGCCCTTGGGATAGTCATATTTCTCCATGGGCCTGGAAGAAAAGGAAAAAGAAAAAGTTGCTGTTTACGCAGAGTCCAAAATCTTAGAAATCCTCGCCACAGAGGTCCCATTCCTCTTCTCAGTTTAAATACAGTCCCAAGAAGAGAGTCTTGGCACAATAGGACATGCAGACCCAACTTCGTAGGAACCTGCCAGCGCGCAGTGCAGAGGCAGCCCAGTCCTCAATGAAAATTTAAAGGGGGCCTGACAGATTTATGTGAGAGCAGGATCCATTTAAACCATTTAAACAACAATATGAATCTTGTGCAAAGTGTAGCTCACATTTTATTGAGAGAAAAGGAAATGATGTAAAAGAAACATCAGCAGTTGTTTTTGTCTGGCCTTCCTGCTTTCAATTACTGACCAGCCAAGTGCCTCTGATTTGTTCCATCTTTTTTTATTATTATTATTTTTACTGATGCAGAACTTTGCAAGAGTAAAGATGCAAGTCACCATGTCTCTGGCATCCTTGGTGGGCAAAGCACCAGACTTTAATGAGGAGCACCTGAGAAGATCCTTGAGGACCATTTTGGCCTATTCAGAAGAGGACACGGCCATGCAGACCACTCCTTTTCCCACCCAGGTAGACTCAAAGCACATACCTTGTCTCATGCATGGGTTGGGGATCAGCCAACTATTTTAGATATACATACATATATAATTTATATATAAATATATAAAATTTGCAAATATTTATTATCCAATATGCATATGTTCTCAGTGCTCTGAAAAGTACAAAAAAAAAAAAATCCACCACTATCCCCAGCTTCAAGATGTTAATGGTCTATTTGGAGAGCTCAGTCTCAAAACAATTAGGTGGCAATACAAGACAACTGATACTTAAGTGCCAAGTGTATGATAGGAAAGTAAATGCCGTGTAAGGTTAGAGAAAAGGAAGGGTGATTAATAAACAACCTGGTGGCCAGGAAAGGCCAGGGGCCAGGACTAATACTGAAAGGCTGGGGTAGGATTGAGCTGGGCAGGGGAAAAGTGAAGTGGGAGTTGTACATAGTGGAGAGAATGAATTGGGTCTAAGGGGATGATAAAGGACCAGCTTTACTGCTGAGGGGTACTTGAGAGTAAGGAAGGGCCCAGTTAGACACAGCTCCTAAACAAGCTTAGTCCTAAGGAAACTTGCAAGGACAGTAATCTCTTCCATCTCCGTTACATGCCCATGGAACTCTAGAATGTCTCATTTATCTTTTAACTCCAACTCCTGGCCTACTCTATGATAGGTTCTCAATTAAGTGAAAATGAATGAATGACTTTTTCTTTGTTCCCTTAGTCTGACAGCCCTATTTGCACAGTCTCCTGCCTGCTCTAGCAATTTCACACCCTCATTCTCAGAACCTTTTTTCTCTCCTTTTCTCTGCATCAAACCCTACCTCTCTCATTTCCTCTTGACCACCCTCCTTTCAATTAATCTCATCATTTATGCAGATATTCACCAGCAAGACCAAGCAAAATATGGGCAGGTTAATAGAGGTCTTCAGTGCCTCCACTCAGTGAAATCAATCTAGTGGTGGAAATTTTAGGAGCCCTGGCAAGCTGGTAGAGGGGATGGGGTGGGTAGGACAACATTCTGTGGCCGAGCCACCTGCTAGGTCTAGAGATGAAGCCATTGTCCTCATCCTTTTTGTGCTGCAGGCTCCCCTGGCCACTTCTCTGTTGGCTTTTGTAGTTAAGAACAAGTGGCTGCAAGAGGTTCTAAAATCTCTGAAGCCCTGGGAAGATCCAGGAAAACTTCTGAGATGTGGAACCCAAGCTAAGGTCCTAATCTGCCTCTTTCTTGATATAAAAAGCCCTGATGGTCCAGAGCAGGGTTTAGAACTTTTCAGGTTGCAAATAACTAAAACTACTTCAAACTATAACAATTAAAGAAAAAAGTATTGGAGAGGGAGATAGCATAAGGATTCAGGGCTAATGCATGGATATCAAGTGCCAGCTCACATCTGGGCCTCAGAAGCACCTAGACTTGTGAAGATCAAAGCCAGGGAGAATGGGGCTAGACTCCACCTCCACCCCGATCTCTGCTGCTCTCTGAGTAGACACTTTCCGTGGCTTCCCCTTGTGCTTTCGATGTAATCCTAACTCGTCACCCAGGACAACAAAACCAAGATTATTTTGGGGCCTTATGCCTCTTGCAGGTGGAGGAGCTTCTCTGCAATCTGAATAGCATCTTGTACGACACAGTGAAAATGAGGGAATTTCAGGAAGATCCTGAGATGCTTATGGATCTCATGTACAGGTGAGCTTTCCTGACACACTCAAAGGGCATCACTTGCGGGTCTAGGGTTTGTCACTGTGGAGTTCTTACTAGTGTTATTACCAAAGATAACGTGGGTGCAGTGTTTTGAATGACATCCAAAACCATATGTGGAAATTGGTAGAAATTAAACATTCAGAGTGGGTTGATTCATAAATAAGTTTTTGGAAAGATCTCCCCAAGTTAAAGTGAAGTACCTGTTTTATCCCCTACTTACCCTGTCTTCTACTTACCATAGAATGTGAGAAAAGAATTATCAACTATTATATGAATTATTTCCTATATGGTTTTGTTCCAGTTATATTCTGATATACATGTATAGTTTTACTTTAGAATCATATTTTACTCTGTAGTTTAAAACTTTGCCTTCCAGTCCTTGTTCAGAAGAAACTACAGGACCAAAATTATTCTGATGCAACATTGTAAGAAGGGTAGTACTTTTGTCTTCTGTTATTATTTTGAGAGAAAGGAAAGAAAAGGAAGAAAATTGCTTGAGATCCATTATAGTAGACATCATTTTTTCAAGTCTTTTTTTTATCCATAGGGCTTTTACTAAGTGCTATTTCTTGGGGGTCTAGCATACCCTACACATGGAATGAAAACAGTTGAACTAATAAATATTTTTTCTTTCTTTCGTTTTCTGAAAATGTGTGCAAAGACTCGGGGTCAGGAGGGAAGCGACCACACACAATAGAACAGTGTCATTAACCAGTTGTCCTTAAAGCTGTTTCTCAATCGGTCTTCAGAATTGCCAAGAGTTACCAAACATCTCCTGATCTGAGGCTGACCTGGCTCCAGAACATGGCAGAGAAACACACCAAGAGGAAGTGCTACACGGAGGCCGCCATGTGCCTGGTACACGCAGCTGCATTAGTGGCCGAGTACCTGAGCATGCTGGAGGACCACAGCTACCTGCCGGTGGGCAGTGTCAGCTTCCAGGTGGGGGCAAGTTCAGCTTTTCCTACACAGCAGTGGTTCTCCGTAGAAAAACTGGGGCAATTATTCCCCCCACTCTGGGGACATTTGACAACATCTGGAGATATTTTTGGTTATCATAACTGGGAGTAGGAGAAGCCAGGGATGCTGCTAAACATTCCATATTGCACAGAAATTGCATATTCTGCAAAGAATTTTTTGACCCTAAATGTCAATAATGCCAAGGTTGAAAAAAACCCTGCAAAACCCCGTGTTAATGTATTACACTTGCCTCTTCTAATTGCTTTACCATCATGGGTTTTTTTTTTTTTTAATTATTGTTTACAATAATGGTACCTAGAGTCAACAGGCACTGTAGGAGACATTCTCAAACACTTTCACGTGTGTGATCTCATTTGAACTTCCCCATAAACCTGTGAAGCAGGTCTATAGGGAAGGTGTTATTACTCCCACTTCACAGATGAAGGAACTGAGAGAGCAGTTTTTCTAAGGTCATTTAAACTCTTTCTCAAAGACTTGTGGTTGGCACAGAATACTAACATCCGTGAAAGTATTCCTGAACATTGGGAAAAGGATTTCCTTTACGACTCATTCCTTTGATTCCACTCCTCAACTTAGTGGGGGCCCACTCTCTAATCCAAAATGAAGAATCAAATTGACCCAGGAAAGCCTCAATCAGTATTTTCTTAGTATAAGCTAGAAATTACCCATAGCTGGCAAAAGGAAATTGTCTGCCAACCCTAAAAGCTGGCTCAGGCTGGGATGCACAGTGGTCACTTGGACTGTCCTCACTGAATAATTTAGTACAGTCTTTAGGGAGGGAAAAAAAATGCTGAGTACTTTTTTTGAAAGAGACATAATCTGGAGAGATGACCATCCCTGAAAGCACGAACAATATAGCTGCAGGAATAGAGCACTTTTCAAGCCAGATTTACAAAGTCATTGACAAGTAAGTGTCTATATTATTCTTGTTTGAATTTGCACGACTGATTTTATGAAAGGCCTTGTTCTCATTATTGTTCTTCAACACAATTTTATGATACAGTGTGAACCAGAAGGGAAGGACAATTCAAAGTAGCTTTCCCAGCCTTAGAGAATCCGTCGTGGAAAGTACTGCTAGTGGAGCCAGGAGCTCCTGGTTTAGTCAGTGAAACAAGAGAAGGGGAGGATGCAATTCAACATAAAGTGATAAACCTAAAGAGTTTATCTAAACCTAAAGAGCTCCTGGTTTCCCAGAGTGCTTTTCATCTGCCAAGCTGGGTTTCACCTCCTATTAACTCTTCCTTCCTTACAGCCCTCAATAACAAACATGTTTATTCTCTCATTTCATGCTTGGCAAATGAATTTTACTCTCAATTCAGAAATATTTGTTATAAAAGCCAATCAATCAATTCTTCTCCAAAAGCATAAAAATATTGCATCTAACTTTGAATCACATAAAAGTGAACAAGAAAGTTATAAAAATGAGTTTAGACCTATCTGCTTCTTTCATCAAATTTATTTTGGACATTTGATATTATCAAGGATAAATATTATAGTAGTACTCTTTCAATTCCCAGAAAATCTTTAGGTTTATCATTTTATGTTGAATTGCATCCTCCCCTTCTCTTATTTCATTGACTAAACTATTTCTTATCATTCTTTTATGCCCTTTTCCCAGTTACTATATTTAGTATTTATCACTTAAATATTAAGTGTATTTCATTGACTTTTACGTTTAGTAGCCCTTACTGTCCTAATTTTAGCTACAATTCAATTGATTTGCTTATAATGAGACATGCCAAGGTGATACAGAATAGTTATTATAGAACCAAGAGAAAACTCCATATTATCTCTACATGGGGGCATACAGCTCTATCTTTTCATATATCTTTATCCATTCATTTCTTCCTTTAGAAAATATTTATTGAACACGTATTCTATCCTCTTGAACTTGACATTGTAGCCAGATAGACACAATATAACTAAGTATTCTATTCTTTATTCAATAACAATTATGAGAAATACTGTTATAAAGAGGCACAAGGCCAGGTGCGGTGGCTCACGCCTGTAATCCTAGCTCTCTGAGAGGCCGAGGCGGGTGGATTGCTCAAGGTTAGGAGTTCGAAACCAGCCTGAACAAGAGCGAGACCCCGTCTCTACTAAATATAGAAAGAAATTAATTGGCCAACTAATATATAGAGAAAAAATTAGCCGGGCATGGTGGTGCATGCCTAATAGTCCCAGCTACTCAGGAGGCTGAGGCAGGATTGCTTGAGCCCAGGAGTTGGAGGTTGCTGTGAGCTAGGCTGATGCCACAGCACTCTAGCCCAGGCAACAGTGTGAGACTCTGTCTCAAAAAAAAAGAAAGAAACTGAAGTGTGAGGCCTTCATGAGGTACAGAACATGATGAGTTAGGTGTTCTCAGCTGCAGAAGAGAAACCAAATGATGTCGATGCTTATAAGTGAATTCTTACTTCTCTCAAATGAGACCTACCAGATCAGTTTGGAAATGTGTGCTGGCAAATGATAGAATACCCCACCCAGAGTGTCCTCAGGTAAAAATGGAATTCGTCAGCCTTCATGAGAGAGGTAAGCCTGGAGTAGCGCCCGCCAAACTGGTCCTGGAGGCCCAAACCACGTCATCAGACCTCAGTGTCATCACCACTTACGTTCTCTGCCTTCTATTGTGTCGGCTTCATTCTTCACAGGCTTCCCACACCCATTAAGGTTTAGGTCGGCATCTCCAGGTTCAAGTCCAGCAGCAAAGAGAGATATCTCCTTTCTAGCAGTTGCAGAGAAAGTCTAGTGCATCTTGCTGATCCCTGTGTCCATCCCTGCACCGGTGATAATGGCCAGGGAAATGGAATGCTCTGACAGGCTCAGCCAGGGCCACAGGCCCACACCTGGAGTTATGACACACACGCACCCCTCCCTGCCCCAAATCAGGATGCTTCACTTTGTAGAAGGATGAAAGGATTCTGGGAGCAGCATTAAAAACAGATATCCAGCGTTGATTTCTTCAATGCTCTATACTTTGGTTTCCGACCTTGTTCTTCTCTAATAAAAGTGAGCCTTTGGAAAAGACTTATACACTGGAGATAATAAACGTGTGCAAGGAAAATAACTCCGAGGTCACTGAATTCCTAGGAACTGAGGTCACTGAAATTCTCTGTCCCAGAGTGTGATATTTATTTCACAAATGTAGATATGGACAACATTCTCAGATACTGCTATTACCTTCCTAAATCTGCCGCAAGGATGTTACTACATTGACGTAAAACGTCCTTTATATAACAACCTCCTCATAGTTAAAGAGAAAAGGAAATGGTAAGATTTGGGGGGACCAGTTGCACAGAGTGTCCTTTCCAAACGGAGGGCAGGCAGAAACCCTGGCGGGTGGGGTGCCACACCTGGTGTGAGCTCCGCCAGGTGAGGACCTGACCACGCGTCCTCATTCCTGCACTGGGATGCCTGCGGTCTCTTCCCAGTCTGGTCCCCTGTTCCCTGGGCTTATTCTGTGATCTCTTTCAGAATATTTCTTCCAATGTGCTGGAGGAGTCCGCGGTCTCTGACGACACGCTGTCGCCCGACGAGGACGGGGTGTGCTCCGGCCGGTACTTCACTGAAAGCGGCCTGGTGGGCCTCCTGGAGCAGGCGGCTGAGCTCTTCAGCACGGTCAGTGTCGCGTGCTCCGTGGGGACTCTGGGTGCCAGCCCGGTCAGCCCCGCTTCCCCAGGACGCGTGCCAGGGTGTGCAGGGTGTGCAGGGCGGGGAAGCTGGGGAGGACTTTGAAGTATGCAAATTGCATCAGCACCCGAGGGAGGCGAGAGAGCCTTTCATCTCAGCGAGGTTCTGGTTTTCGCCCCGTGCTCATTGGCTGGGCCGCAGTTTCACAGGATTGTTTCCATTTAATAGGGTGGAAACTAAGCCACAGGGAGGTGAAATGGCTTGCCCGGTATTGCACAAGAAAGGGAGGAGGCATGTTCTCTCTCCCCATAGAGAAAGAACGAGGGGTGGAGCGACTGCAGGAGAGGGAAGGAACTGACTTGTGTCCAGGGCATTACAGACCAGCACCACTCGGAGAAAAGCGGGAGCAGAAATCACTGAGACTCTCCTCATTAACCTAACCTGGGTCTAAACATTCCCAATAAGAGGAAACATACCTAGATTATTAAGTCATTGAGATTCAGGGCAAGAGGGAAAGCCTCTCGTCAATTTTCATTTGAATGTCCTTCCTCCTTTAATTTTTAAGCCAAGTAGATATTTAGGACTTGACTGTATTTAGCTGGTCAATTTTGTTTTCATCCCCATGGTCTTCTTTGTTCTCTACTTTTCATTTCCAAGTTTCCTCCCTATAATGTCTGTGTATTTTCATTATTGCTTTAAGTATCTTTTCCTTTTTCCTGCTTTCCCTTTCAGGATTCAGAAAATGGCTAATATATACTCTTGTTTTTCCTCAAATTCAGGAAAAGTAATTGGTTTGAATGTTACTAATTTCTTCGGGGCTTACATTTAGCATGTGGTTGGAGAAGAACCTCTGGTGAAATTTAAATACACTAAAGCTGCCTCACTGAAATACTCTTAGCCTCTGCTGCCGAACTCCTCTCCTGTTTTTTTCCCTGAAAACCCTTCTCTCTGCTTAACATCACCACACAGAACCACTTAGTGATGCGTCTAGTTCAGCTTGAATGCTAACAACCGTCCCAAAGACCCTCAGACATCCCTCCTGCCCTGTAAAATGCTGTATTGCAACAATACATGGATTCTCCAGGGCATTGTTTGGACAATGAACTCCAGTTGCTCTTCATCAGTTTCCAATGAATTGAATTCTCTCTGATTCTCTTCTCTTTTCCCAGGGAGGCTTGTATGAGACGGTTAACGAGGTCTACAAGCTGGTCATCCCCATCCTGGAAGCCCATCGAGACTTCCGGAAGCTGACCTCCACTCACGACAAGCTGCAGAAGGCCTTTGACAACATCATTAACAAGGTAGCTGGGGACCCTGGGTTACCTGGCTGCAGGTGACCCTATGCTAAAGATCTTAGCCCTCCTTCCCCTTGAGGGAGTGATTTGCCTTGAGCACTTCATTACTCTAGCTCTCACCTATCAAACAGAAAAGGGCTGCGAATAGAGGACCAGAAATCCGAGTGTGAAAGAAGGCAGCTCAAATTCCTTTGTAACCAGGAAATGTGAGAATCGTTTAAATTCATTTCAAAGAAGGCCCTGAAATCTGGTCTTTTGGTTATTATTTGCAAAGTTTACCCCATAAACATTACATTTAGTTAAAGGAATTATTTCTGTGTACATCAGCCATTGGAATAAAATACTCTGTAACACAATAAAAGATTCCTGCCTTTGCAACCCAATGGATCGTCAGGAATTGCATAACTATAATTTATAACTAATAATTTCATATTTTGTTCATCAGGATCACAAGAGAATGTTTGGAACCTACTTCCGAGTTGGTTTCTATGGATCCAAATTTGGGGATTTGGATGAGCAGGAATTTGTTTACAAAGAGCCTGCAATTACCAAGCTTCCTGAGATCTCCCATAGACTGGAGGTAAGACAAGTGATTCTGTGTGCTTGACACTGTACTTCGCAAAAATGTACTTTGCAAAATGTTAGAATGGGTCATCACCCCAAGTAAGTACATAATCATAAATCATGGATTCATCATTGATCTCTACATAAATTTTTCCACTTTGCATGTCTAACGTGAAGGTAGTAGGTGAGATCTGATGTAAAGCGAGATTTGGATAGTTTTCCCCTAAGATCCCGTGTATGCTTTCCAAAGTTTGTAAATTTGTATGGCAAAAGTTTATTTTCAAGTCTATGCAAAATTCAGTCAATGGCATGTGCTTTCTTATGTTTCCAGATGTTACTAATATATGCTAACAGATAGGAAGTAACAGAGTTTTTTGGCTTGAAAGCTAGCATCTTGACTTTGAAGTAATCTGGCCGAATTACTGAATCACCCCTGGAGAATGGTGTGGCCATCCTTCTGGTGTCACTGGACAACTTCTTCCATTCTGATACAGAGCTGCTCAACAGTAGCTGTACAGCGGCTTGTGGCCAGCCCCAGCTCCAACCTGCTGTTGACATTCGGTCCATAATGTAACAGAAAAGAACAGCATGTTCTGGGAAGAAAGGCTGAAAGGATGGAGGAAAAGAGAAACAGCCCAAAGAAAGATCAGGAAAAAGGAAACAGACAGTGAAAGGCCAAGGACTAAGAACTCAGGAAGAAAGTTAGAGGGTGCCTCCAAAGCAAAACCCTCTCAGGCTGAGTGACTGGGGTCTGCAAACTGATGACAGTTAACCAAAGATTTATTCCTTACACACTGTCACTATTGTTTTGAATATATGCTCTCTTATGACTGTAAGACTTACAATACTTGTTGCCTAATTGCTCCTTGCACTAAACAATCATGGGACTTACTTGATTCAAATAAATCATGCCCCAGAGTGGAAATATGATGAGGTTGGTTGAATTAGAAGCCAAGCATAGCTATTGTAGGGAAGCATATATCAATTGACAGTGCTGAACTTCCTTATATTTTTATTTTTGTCTCAGGAAATGCTGAACTTTGCTCATTTGCTCAGAGAGACTCTCAATAATCAATGAACAAATTCTACCTTGTACTTGTTCCAAACTTATTTCACTTCTGAGAAGACAAAGAGTTGCATTTTGTTGAAAATAACCTTTATAAACTGTTGGTTCTTCTTACCTAGGGATTTTATGGTCAGTGTTTTGGTGCGGAATTTGTGGAAGTGATAAAAGACTCCACTCCTGTCGACAAAAGCAAGTTGGATCCAAACAAGGTATAAAAAAATTTGCAAAAATTAACCATCAGGTTCTAAATCCATATCCTACCCTGAGAACACAAAATGGCCTCTTTCATCTGGATTCCCTGAGTCATTTAAACACAGCCAAATATTTTTGTCTAGGGTTCAACTACAAATTGGTCAGATCTGAAAGAAAACATACTCAGACACAGGAATTGTAACAGGAGTTATTGTTGATTAAGCACCAGCTGTGTGTCTGGAACTCTTAGGCCCTTTGCATATATCATTTCAATTCATTCTCCATCAGTCCTTTGAAGTAGGTTTCATTGTTCCTATTTTACAGATGAGAAAACTGAGGCATACAAAGGACCAGAAACTTTCCAAGATAATGCAAAGAGCAGAGCCAGTACTCAAACTTAGTGTCTGTTATCCCTGAACTTATACTCCTAACAACTGCTCTTTATTGCCTTTCTATAAAACCTTTAAACTCTCAATTTAAAACATGTTTAAAAGATATAGTCGGGCCGGGTGCGCTGGCTCACATCTGTAATCCTAGCACTCTGGGAGGCTGAGGCAGGCGGATTGCTCGAGGTCAGGAGTTTGAAACCAGCCTGAGCAAGAGCGAGACCCCATCTCCACTATAAATAGAAAGAAATTAATTGGCCAACTAATATATATACAGAAAAAATTAGCCAGGCATGGTGGCGCATGCCTGTAGTCCCAGCTACTCGGGAGGCTGAGGCAGGAGGATTGCTTGAGCCCAGGAGTTTGAGGTGCTGTGAGTTAGGCTGACGCCACGGCACTCACTCTAGCCTGGGCAACAAAGCAAGACTCTGTCTCAAAAAAAAAAAAATACAGTTGTCTCACTGAGAGCATTTAAGTGACAACCTTCTTTAAGCTGCAAGTAAGTATTCCTGTTGGCCAAGCATAGGGTCCCTGTGCCATTGGCGGAATGATACCAAGGGCTTGGCCTTCTGTCTTTTCACTTAGACACAGGGGTATGGTCCATTTCACCCCAAAGTACTGCAGTGCACTTCTGATATCAACGCCCTGTAGTTAGCATCAGACCCTGCAAGTTAAAGGCTCAGTCCTCCCCAAGATGGCCCTTACTTCAGACATCAGGCTCAACCCCACTTCTGACCAGCCAGCCGGCTACAAATTTGGGAGTTTCCACAACAACCCTCAGGTTAGATAATTCATTAAAATGACTCACAGAAGTACTCGCATATGTACTACACTTACAATTATAGTTTTATATAAAGAGTACACACAGGGCAGGGTCTGGGAAGGTGCATATAGTGTCTGTGCTCTCTCCTGGGAAATCCAGGCACGTCACCTTCCTGGAAGGTGTTCACCAACCAGGAAGCTCCACCGAGTCTCCATGTCCAGAGTTTTTATTGGGGTTTCGTTACGCTGGCATGATTGAACTGTCTCCAGCCCTTCCCCTCTCTCTCTGGAGGTCAGGCTAGCTCAAAGTTCCAACCCCCTCATCACATGATTGGTCTTTTTGGTGATGCTTCGGCATCCAGAAGCTGTCTAGGGGCCTGCCAAGAATCACCTCATTAGCATAACAGAGACACACCTATCACGCAGGACATTCCAAGAGTTTTTGAAGCTCTGTGCCAGGAAATGTGAACAAAGACCAGAGGTATTCTTTAGTATCCCACAGGGTGCTACCTACCTGCCCAGCCATGCCACAGACAGATATGTTCATGAATGAGCTTTCTAGCCTGCAAATAATGCAAATGCAAGGTGGTGTTGAGGGCCCAGGAAACAGAGGACCAATTGCATCTGGCAGAGCTATAAAACAAAAGGTCCAAACTCTTCCCTCAGTCCCATCTTCCAGGATATTATGAGGGTGATGCAAGTAGGGAAGAAATGGCCAAATCTAAGAGTTTGTCTTTTCTACATTTTTATCAGAACACTTGCTCACTTAAGACACTTTTCCTAGCCTAGGCTTGAAAGCAATAGCTGTAGTAAGAGTTGAACTGAACTTCAGACAGGAATGTTTGGGGTCCTTAGAAGACAGGATCGGCTGCATGCCCACAGTGATCTGTGCAGAGCACAAGTTATATAAAATCACCAGTGACCTCCCTGACATAGTGTCCTTTTCCCCTCTTTTAAAACTTCCAAAGTGGGTATGAGAGCTTGGAATGAGAGTCCAAACCCAAAATTATGACCAGACTTCATTAGATTAAGTAGTGATTTACAGTCTGAGGTCAGTGACCCCACCTACCCCCTTCAGGGATGGGTGTCCCAATGTCTGTGCTCACTGTCCCCTTTTTTTTTTTAAAGAGGCCTTCTTCCTTAATAAGTACCCTTCTTCACTCTGTGTGTGTATGGGGGGGGGGTATAAATGAGGTATATGCAGTGAAATTCACCGTTTTGGTGTTTAGCCTTACAACTTTTGACAAACACGTGTAACCACCACCACAGTCAAGAGATAAAACAGATCCGTCACTCCAAAATATTTCCCTGGGCCCTTTCTAATCATCCTCTCTCTACTTTCAATCCCTGGCAGCCACCAATCTATGTTCTGTCTCTGTGGGCTTGCCTTTTCCAGGATGTACAAAATGGAGTCCTGCAGTAAATAAATGGAATCATATAGTCTTTTGAGTCTGGCTTTTTTCCCTTGGCCTAATCCATTTGAGATTCATCCACATTGTAGTGGTTCGTTCCTTTTTATTGCCGAGTAGTATTCTGTTGTGTGGACGCGCCACCGTTTGCTTGTCAATTCCCCACTTGAGGACATTTGAGTTGCTTCTAGTTTTCATCTATTTTATGAATAATGTAGCTGTAGATGTTTGTGTACAGGTTTTTTGTGTGCACATATGTTTTCATTTCTCTTGGGTACACATATGGGAGCAGGATTGCTGGGTTGCACGGTTAGTGCAATTTAACTGCATAAGAAACTGCCAACTTGTTCTGTAAAGTAGCTGTGCGTTTTGCATTCCTATTATTCACGTATGAAAGTCCCGGCTGCCCTCCATCCTTGCCAGCACTTGGTATTAGGTTTTTTTTTTTTTTAGTTTGCCAGTTCATGCTTTCTAATAAGTGTGCAGTGGTCATAGTCATTCTGACAAGGAATGTTGATGTCTCTTAAATAGCAGTTTGCAAACTCTCATACCAAGGCTTCTGTTGGACCAGTTTGCTCTTCTAGGAGGGGGCGGCCAGTGGGCCTGACTCTTCCCGCAGCCACACTCCCCTCTCCTTCTGCTCAGAGTCCTTTGTCTCCCTGGGGTCGGGCAGAAGAAATGGCTGCTGGCAAGATGCTCGGCTGCGGCTCCTGGTGTCTGTAGCTTTCCTGACCTGGGAAAAGCACTGCTGCGCTGTGTTCCAGCATGCCGCTCCCGTGCACCTCCCGTGCACCAGGATGGCTGTTTGCAGAGTAGCTCACCTCTCCTCCCCTCGCCCCGTCCCCCGCAGGCCTACATACAGATCACTTTCGTAGAGCCCTATTTTGACGAGTATGAGATGAAAGACCGGGTCACCTACTTTGAGAAGAACTTCAATCTGAGAAGGTTCATGTACACCACCCCCTTCACCCTGGAGGGCCGGCCTCGGGGAGAGCTGCACGAGCAGTACAGAAGGAACACCGTGCTGACCACCATGCACGCCTTCCCCTACATCAAGACCAGGATCGCCGTCATCCAGAAGGAGGAGGTAATGGCTCCCAGAAGGGAACAGCCACCACTGGACGTGGCGGTGCAGGGGGGCAGCCTGGGCGACCTGCTAGCAGGACACACAGACCTGAGCGCTCACTCCTTCATGGCGCACTGGACTAAAAGCAAAAAGGGACGCACTTGAAATATGATAATGTGATTATCCTTTCACTCTCACAGTGTCAGGGAATCCCATTTAGTCAGCTACATATTTTATAGCACTAGTTTATATTTAATATTTTAAAGTTATATCTTTAGTATAAATATGTTTACATATTTAATTATAATATCTAATATATTTATATTCTAATTATAAATGTGTATGAGATAAGTATATTTAAATTTTAAATATTTATATAAAATGTTCATATATTTAAAAGCTCATAGGTGATTCAACTATATATGTGTTAATTATTAGAGAAAAGAACCACAAGTGTGCAGCCCCAATAAGTTGGAGATGTGCTGTAGGAAGGGCACGATACAAGGTAGACAAGTTGACCCACTGGCTTCTAGTGCCAGCTTCCTCCTGTGACTTTGCACAAGCTAATTATCTTTAGGCTCTTCATTTATACATTGGCAGGAAAGACTTCTATGCACAGTAGAAGACTGTACTCATTTTAATAGCACTGATTAAGAAAGTCTCTCAAACCACAGAATCATTCAGAATTATACATGCCATAAATATTTTATTTTTCTTTAAAGCACATACATGTACATTTATTTGTCATCCTTTTTTATAGAGGGTCACAGACTTCTCTGTGATTATGAGTTGGCTGATCACACTTCAGCATTGTCCTTCTTGTATAAACCACGCCCAGAGTGCATTGTCTGAGATGTTTTTTGCTTTCTGTAAAGCAGAGGTGAGGGCTTAACGATCCTCGTTAAGCAATAGGAAAGCAGAAGGCTTCTGGATTTTTACAATTTTTTCCCCTAGCCTTTTATAGTTGTCTTGTGCACACCTAACATGACAGGAATTTTTATAGCAACTCCCTTTCATAATGTCTTGCCCAAGCATTCAGCTTGGATTCCATACAAGCAACTCTTTTTCTTTTCACACCTATAGTTTATCAGCTTGTGCGTTATTTAATTAGATTAGGTCATTAAAATAACAAGTATAACAGATGTAATTGAGGTGGTGAGCAAACACAGATGCATTGTGGTGAATATATACCTCATCGGGCAGGAGTAGAAGTGGCTGAACTACCTAGAGAGTAACCCACCAGCTAGCATTCAGCAAAGTAACTGCATCAGACCGTGGGTTTCCCAGAGGGCAAAGAGAGTCAGACCTAGTGACTCAGTCAAGAGGAGGTAGGTTTAGAAAGCACCTGTTGTACTTCTTATCATTTCAGACCTTTAAACATGGAAACATGTTAGGCATGGCACAAAAATAAAATCATGGCACCAAAATGCATTCTCAAAACTTTTCTTGGCCATCTGTAGTTCCCCGAAAACCTCAGTGTGTCTATTTGCTAGGGCTGCATAACAAAATACCACAGATGGAGAATGGCTTAAACAACAGAAATGTATCATCTTAGAGATCTGGAGGCTAGAAAAGAAGTCTGAAATCAAGGTGTTGGCAGGGCTGGTTTCTTCTGAGGCTGTGAGGGTCTGTTCCAGATCCTTCTGGGCTGTGGATATGGCCATCTTCGCCCTGTGTCTGTTCATATCATCTTCCCTCTATGCATGCTCATGTCCAAATTTCCTGTTCTTACAAGGACACCAGTCATATTGGATTAAGGTTTACTCTAATAACTTCATTTTAACTTGATTACCTCTGTCAAGGCCATATCCCGAATAAGGTTAATAAGGTTAATCTCTAGTACTCAGAGGTACTAGAGATTAGGACTTCAACATATGAATTTGGGGGTGATACGACTCCACCCCTAACATTCAGGAAGGACACTACCCCAAAGCAGGATAACTTAGTAGCTAGATTGACCTTTGAGAGAATTCCATTTACTAGGAATTCTCCTTTAGGGTGAGTTGAAGAAGGCACAAGTGATATCAGAAGCTTGTATTATGATGGGGAAGAAAATCTTGAGTGCTGTGCTTCTAATAGCTTTCCCAATTTTAAGTCAAGTAACTTGTTCGATATTAAGAAAGGATATCTGACAATGTGGAAAAAACATGAAGTCTGAACATAGACATAACTATGATCAAATTATGATCTCCCCACTTACTACCTGTGTCATTTTATGGAACTTACTTAACTTTACAATCTCCCTTTGACTGTAAAATGGAGAAAATAAGAAGGGTGTTGAAAGGAGTAAATGATAAATGTGTGTAAAGTTCCCAGAACATAATAAGTACTCAAGAAATGTTAAGCCCTTCCTTCTTCTTAACCTACTATGATTATTTTAAATTATTCTAAAAGTCTTCCCTTAGCTGTTTCTTCTAATCCAGGTGCCCTCCCATCATAGTTCCAGATTTATCTGTGGCATATGAGTCCAGACAATGACTTGCCTACATTTCTGTCCTATGTTCAGTTTGTTTTGACACCAATTGAAGTTGCCATTGAAGATATGAAGAAGAAGACCCTGCAGTTGGCGGTTGCCATTAACCAGGAGCCCCCTGATGCAAAGATGCTTCAAATGGTGCTGCAAGGCTCTGTAGGAGCTACTGTAAACCAGGTAACAAAACCAGCTGGTGGCAGCTTCTCTGGTTCTTATCACATTGGTTATCATATATCTCCACCCTCCTTCTTTGGAGTTGATGAGGACTCTGATCCAATATAAACACACAGATGTTTCTAAACTTAGCCTGAACACTTGTGAGGTTTAGAAGACTTTTAGGATGCCTCTTCTCTTTCATGCAACAACCCAAGGTAGGAAAGAAATCCTAGAGATGAATAGACCAGGAGTACCATTTTCTCAAAGGAGTCTCCACTATGGGGCCAGATGTGGCAATACAATCTAGATCTGGGGGCCAGTAAGGAGTGCTTAGTCATGCCCCATTTAGGCAGAGTCCTTCCAGGGCTTGAGACTAACCTACGAATACCTGTAGGTGAGAGGTGAAAGGGTCTAGAACAGGTGTCCTCAAACTACGGCCCACGGGCCACATGCGGCCTGCCGAGGACATTTATCCGGCCCACTGGGTGTTTTTGCCACCGCTGCCTGTCCTGCTTAGCAGCTGACTCATCCTGGGCACACAGTGCGCATGTGTAGAATGTGCACCGCACTCTCCAACGGCCCTCCAGTGGTCTGAGGGACAGTGAACTGGCCCCCTGTTTAAAAAGTTTGAGAATCCCTAGTCTAGAACATCCGACTCTTGGGTCAGTTTCCAGATGAACCCAGCACGCCAAGGACCTTGCCAACCAAGAGTGACCTGGGACCAGGCTTCTTGGGCCACATCACACAAGACTGTATCTTTTCAGACTTATTAGCACGCTAACTCCCAAGTTCAGCATGGAGCTGAACGAGTCTCAGTTGGAGGGAGGTACTAGCCCTAATACGCTGTGGCCTCCTTAATTTCAGTTCTAGATCCGTTCTTGTCCACACTCAGATATTCAATGAGCATCATGAGTCTTTTCTCACTCAGCACAACTGGATTCCCCTGCAAAAATTCTGTCTGCTTAGCATCAAGGCAGCAGCAATGGTAAAGAAGAGAAATGCCTATTGCATTTCCAAGATCAGAAAAAATTAGGAAACTTTTGCCTTTGCAAGTGCCAATCCTTTGATGAAAATGGAAGACTTTATAAGACCACAACCATGGACTACATATATACCATGGATATCTCTGACTCAAGCCAACAATTATGCAAAATGCTGTTTGCCACTGGGGCAACTAGATGAAATGAGTGAATATGAATGGATGGATCAAGGCAAGCCCCATTTTTATAAAAGCAATTCAAAGTACATACCCTTTAATGCAGTTCTATTGCCTTTATATGTGAAAGAAAATCTATTATTAGTAGTCTTTGAGAAAATACATTTGTAATTCTGATTGTTTCCCTAAAACTCTAGACTCTCAAGTAATCAAAGTTTCTTGAGAAGTTCAAGACCTTTCTTGATTTTTTTGTTTGGTTCAAACCAAGTACAAAATTAAATTTTTAAACTAAGTCATGCCAACAATTCAAGTAATTGAATTTTCTTTTCACTATCAGTATTTTTTTTGTTTTTTCCATCAGGGACCACTGGAAGTAGCCCAAGTGTTCTTGGCTGAAATTCCAGCTGACCCAAAACTCTATCGACATCACAACAAGTTGAGGTTATGCTTTAAGGAATTCATAATGCGGTAAGAAGGAAAATGGTTGGGAATTTTATTAAAGCAGTAGTTCTCAACAGTGTGGTCCCAGACCAGCAGCTTCAGCATCACCTGAGAATTTGCAAGAAAGACAAAGTTTTAGGTATCACCCAGACCTACTAAATTGGAATGTCTGGAGGAGGGACTTAGCAATCTGTGTTTTAATAAGTCTTCCAGGTGATTCTGATGCACACTGAATGTTCAAGAACCACTGCAGTAGAGCAACACTACTTGTACTAGTAATAAGTAACTTATAAACTGTAAAGTGTTTCCATGTCTGTCATTTCCCATGTACCTCACTTTCACATTGTAAAATAAGTATCATCATTATCCTCATTTTAAAGAGGAGGAATTGGAGGCTCAGAGATAGGATATAATTTTCTTAAGTTTGCACAGCCAGTTAGAGGCAGAGTTGAGTGCAAACCAGGTCTTCTGAATCCAAATTGTCCACACTTGCCTCAATGTGCTGATATTCCACTGACATAGTAGAGTCCCAGAAGTTCTTGGCATTGGCAGTCTTTGTGATTTCCTAAATCATCTAATAACTTATCATTAGAAACTCAAAAATAGATACTGCCTCCAATTGAGAGATAGAGGCAAGATTCTAAAACTGGGCTTTTTCAAAGGTATCACCTCAGTGACACTTCCCCATGTCAGACAAGCCTCATCTCTGCTCCTGAATTCTGCAGTGGAGCTGCCTCAAAGGCAGCCAGTGTAGCCTGGATAAGAAGTGGGTCTCCTTTCCTGGTTAGAGCTGGAACCCATACTATTAAGTGAAGTTTCCCAAGAATGGAAAAACAAGCACCACATATACTCACCAGCAAATTGGTATTAACTGAACAGCACCTAAGTGGTCACATAGGTACTACAGTAATAGGGTATTGGGCAGGTGGGAGGGAGGAGGGGGGCGGGTATATACATACATAATGAGTGAGATGTGCACCATCTGGGGGATGGTCATGATGGAGACTCAGACTTGTGGGGGGAGGGGGGAAATGGGCATTTATTGAAACCTTAAAATCTGTACCCCCATAATATGCCGAAATAAAAAAAAAAAAAGAAGTGGGTCTTTGGGTAAGGTTTTGTAATCTGTTGCAACGCAGACTGATATATTGGGTCTCCTGTGGTCCTTAAAAGAATGATTGTGAAGGATGCGAGGGCATTTCATCTATAAGAACAAATGACAACAGAAAAAAATGTGTACCAATACTTCTTTTCATCCATGAACTTTAGAGCGGCATATAAAATGTAGAAATATCCTCACTTGCTAGATGGGGATAAAGGAAGCTAAAAAGTTAAAGTTTGGTAAATTCAGTGAAAACTTGCCAGCCTGCTAGTGTCGGGTGACGTGATAGGTCCGCAACTTTGCTGTGATGGAGGGGACATGCTTTGTCCTGCAGTAAAGCACAGCTGCTTGGTAATGCGCATGTGTGGCTCTGTGTATATGTATGTGTACATGTGTATACACATGCACATGCATAGACTATATTTATTAATGTTTTGATATTTGAATTGTTTCCTATCTTTGAAAGCAATTCTGACATTACAAAAAAGGTAAATTTTTTTCTTCAGTACATAGTACATATTTATATAACAAAAAATATTTGGGGGATTTTCTAGATCTATTTATTTTTCACATATTTTCATTTAAAATTAATTATGGTTGAAGGCCTCCAAAGTTGGCAGTGGCCCAGGCCTCTCTGGACCTGCAGAAGGATCTATGAAATGTTGACAGAGCACTCACTGTGACCCAGCTGTGACATTAGTTATGGGAACACCGAGACCTGGGTATTCCTCTGCTCTTGGTGACAGGCCATGTCTCTGCAGAGCTAAACAGCAATACAGTGTAGCTGGTGCTGAGAACCCTATGCGTGTGCTAAATATAGGATTAGAGAGATCAGAAAAGAGAGATCAGTGGCAGACTGGAGTGTTTGGGGGGAGGCTTTGTAGAAAAACCTCTTAAACCTTGTCTTGAACATATGGTTGGAAGAAAGGGGAGAGGGGGAAGAGGGAGGCATTACAGTGTCCCCCCTTGTCTGTGATTTTGCTTTCCATAGTTTCAGTTACTGGTGGTCTGAAACTAATATATACAATAAGATATTTTGAAAGAGAGAGAGACCAACCAACCACATTCATGTAACTTATATTGCAATACATTGTTATACTAGTTCTATTTTACTAGTAGTTATTGTTCATCTTTGTGCCTAATTTATAAATTAAACTAGCCCGGGCCCAGTGGTTCACGCCTGTAATCCTAGCACTCTAGGAGGCCAAGACGGAAGGATTGCTTGAGCTCAGGAGTCCAAGCCCAGCCTGAGCAAGAGCGAGACCCCGTCTCTGATAAAAATAGAAAAATCAGCCAGGTGTCATGGCGCACCCCTTTAGCCCCAGCTATTATACTTGGGAGACTGAGGTGGAAAGATCATTTGAGCCTAGGAGTTTGAGGTTGCAGTGAGCTACGATGATGCCACTGCACTCTGCCCAGGGTGACAGAGGGAGACTCTGTCTCAAAAACAAAACAAAATGCTTTATCATAGGTATGTATGTAGAGGAAAAACATGGTGTATGTAGGGTTTAGAACTATCTGTGGTTTCAGGTGTCCACTGGGGGTCTGGGAACGTGTGCCCTGCGGATGAGGGACTGCTACACTAGTGAGGGGACCGACACAGCCACAGGGCTCACAGTCAGGAAAGTTCATGATGCGTCCGGACTCCTCCAAGTCCAGCTAGGGCAGCACGTTCTCTGGAGCATGTTAGGACAAGGAGGAAAGATTCGAAAGACAGTAATATTAGTAAATGAGTCTCTGAATAGAATGTAAATGTAAAAGGAAACTTGTTCAAAGAGGAAGTGGTTTTCATTGTGTTTAGAGGTCACATGGATTTCTTGTACTAGTGCAAACCTTGCAATCCAGCATCTCACGGGTGTGATCCTCTGCCCAACTCCACCTAGTTAAAATGTCCTTATGAAATCCCTTCTAAAATGCATTTCTAATTAGCTCCTAGCCCCAGGAAAAGTTGCTACAAAGAGAACACGGGGCTGAGTGAAACTAGTCCAAGGCAAGGGATACAAAAGGAAACGGATTTTCCTAGGGACGGTCCTTTAACAAAGTCGTGCATTAGACTCTGAGCGAAGATGTTATCTTTCTGCCCAGATTGCCTGCAAAAATGGTGGATTTTCAAAATCAAATTCATCATTTAAAATGTTGTTCTCTAACCCTTCTAAAGGTGATTCCGTGTGGGAAACCAGGCTACAGTCCTGCCTTTCTTGCTGCTGCTTGCACTGCTGTGTTTTCTAGAAATGCCACAAGACTGTCTATCAGTCCTTCTCAAACTTCGCGTTCTTACAGACTGTCTGGAGATCTTGTCAAATGCAGATTCTGATTCAGTAGGTAGAACCTGAGACTCTGCATTTCTAAACAAGTGCTGCTGCTGCTGCTACACTGGACCAAACTTGAGTAGAGAGCCGATAGAAGTTGCTGGATTGCCCACCTCCCTTTTACCTTTTCCAGCCCCCTCCCCTCCCCTCCCTCCCTGAGGGCTTCATCCCTCAGGCCATCCTTGCTGTCACTCACCTCCTTTGCCTTCCCGTTCCTCCCTCCAAAGCAGCAAGTGTGCTCAAACTGCTACACTTTGAACCAACTATAGACGTCAGCTCATCCATTCATTTAGCAAACCCTTACTGAGCCCTTGCTTAGTGGCCAGCACCATGCTACAGCACATGGAAGGGTTAAGTCCCGGGAGAAATGGGACACGGCTGCAGGCGATGCAACACTGCCGCCCAGACTTTCCCTCCGCTTTATGTCATGGAGATCAGAAGTAGTGGGTAAGACCATGGTGATGGCTGCACAAGGGTACACGTTTTCTAAAATTTGTCAAACTTACCCTTAAAAATGGGTAAAGGTTATGGCATATAAATTACACCCATGATACAAGTAGTAGACAAGGAAACCTTCCTTTTGCCCCCATTGCTTAATTCTTTCCCAAGCGCAATCAGGAAGGTACAGCTTTTTGATGAATAGAGTAACTGTTTTGTCAAGTTGTCTGCACTGGGGTATTTTCTCCCCGGCTCTGCTCTGAGACAGCAGAGGTGACACAGTTGTGGAGAATATTTGGGGGCTGAACAGCTCTCAGGTTTCCCGGCCACTAAGCTGCAGCTTCTCAGCAGACGTGGGCTGTAGGTCAGTGAGCACAGACTTCCGATGCTGAGAACTAACGGCAGAAATGGGCGCTGACCAGGCCCACCAAGGCTGCTTCCCGCCGGGCCGCGGCCTTTCTGACTCAGCTGCAATAGAAGCAGAAACAGCCAGAGGAATCCTGGCAGCAGACTTGCTGCAGCCAGCACTCGTCCAGCTAGTCCTGCAACTCTTCAGAGCATTGCCAAGTTGGGACCTCAATCCGCTTCTGCGTTTTCCTGCAATACTAAAACGCCACTGCAGTGAAAGCAGCATGTTCAGGGGTTCAGAAGCCGAGACAGAGATGCAAGTTTCCATCTCCCTCTCCACTCCCCTAAAGCACCCACTTTTAGGCGCTGAAATTCAGTTTTAAATTTTCTTCTTCTTACTTTTTCTGAATGTTCTTACTCCCATGAAGACTAAGTGATTCTAAATTTATTTTTATATTTAAATAGAAAATAGCACTCAATGGTACCAGTTACAGGCTCCCTTTAAGAGAAGTGGTTTCAGATACACCCCACCAGGGTTCTGTTGCGTATCCACAGTCACAGAGTCGGAAAACAGGTGTCTGATGGTGCTATTTTGAAATTGGAGTTAAGGTCTGTGAAGAGGAAGGAGAGGGCATTCATCCAAGTGGCCATACTACCCTGCGCGGATAGTGTCGGTGGAATCAGCAGCAGTAGGTGGAAAGAGATCTGAATATTTGGTGGGAAAACAAAGCCTGAAATGTCCCGAGAGGTTGCTCAGAAGCAGATCAACAGTGGTGACATACGAGTGATTTTTGTCACTTTCACAGGGTCATAGATACCTCGTATTAGTGGGGCAGCATTGCTAGACAGAAACTGGAAACCAAGTAGAACAGCCTGCACATGCATACACACACACACACACACACACACGCACACACACGGCTCTCCCCCAACCCCCATCCCACCTGCAGTGATTCTAAGAGGAAAACTCCGTTTTTGTTGCAGTGTGATTCTGCCCTCCTCTCCTAGCCAACCTCCTCCATGCTCTTGGAAGAGCTCTTGGTCCTCTTGCTCTCTTGCTTTGGGGCTGGGGACACTGCGCTGGAGAATGGCTGGGGCTGACACTGACTTAGAGGATATTAAGCAACCATGGGAACCCCGGGGCACTGTGGCTCCTCAGGACAAAAGCCCAGGGCTGGAAGGAGGTTAAGGCCAGCGTAATGTGAACCTGCCCTGGAGACTGTTCATTAGTCTGCTCTGGAGAACCTGGGTTCTGATGTGCTCATCAGGTCCTCAGAACCTGCTTCCGGGTGTCAAATGCCAGGTTGGACACCTCCCCAAGCCCATACCCCTGGTCTGACCCCTCTTCCCATGAAGGCCACTGGGACACTGCACCTGTCCTGAGGGAGGCAGCCACACAGGCCATGTGGGCAGCTCATCCAGAGCAGGTAGAGGTGGCTCAGTGGGGACCGCGGGAAATAAGGCTGCCGCTGGGCCTTGTCTGCCTTGGGGTTCACTCCCTACAACACAGCTGTGCGCTCCCAGGCCCGTGCCTCCCCGCTGCAGTGAGGGCTCTTCTCTCTCTCACCGTCTTTCTGTCCACAGTCTCTCCGGTGTCACACCTCCAGGGTAACTAGACTTTTCACAGCAGGGTTCAGGACTCCTAGAAGGGGAGGGAGCCACATTACCCTTCATTACCCAGTTACACAGCACCACTTCCACCGTGTTCTACTCACTGAGGCAGTCACAAAGGACCCCCCATTCTACAGATGAGAAAAAAGGAAGATTTTAATGATGACGTCATCATGGTAATGAGTAGCAGCTGGTTTCAATTCTTGTTCTGTCTGCACGTAAAGCATTTAACCCCGTCTTGGGCACATGGTAAGCAATCAGTGTATGTTAGCTAACCACTACTATTTCTGCAGGCAAAAACTACAGAGAGTTTAGTTAATTCTGCCAAAGTTGTCAGAGTAGACATCCCCAAGTTAGCAGTTACCTTCTGCAGGCCTCATCGCCCTTCTTTTGTTTTTTCGTTTTTTTAGGCTTTGGCTTTGAGTTCTTCTTGAACTTTTTTTTTTTTTTTCCAAGTTGTTCCCCTTACTTTTTGTTTAGGAGGCATTAAAAAAAATAATAAGGGGTGATATAGATTTCTCAGGATTCAAAGGCTGTATACCTCCCCTTCTGGTCTTCCCTAAAACCTTTTATATATAACCTTTAGGTATCCTATAATTTGCTTCAATTAATGCCAAACTTAAAAGATAGGTGAAAATCCAGTTAAGGGAGTTCTTTGGTCTCTGGGTGAGTTAAATCAAGTCCTGCTTCTGTAGCAGGCTACTTCCATGATGATACTGTGGTCACAGGTTTGATTTTTTGCCCAGGCCAAGTGGCTTTTCCTTGCCATTATCACATGCCACCCTCTTCCTCTTTGACTGTCATCCTGAAAACATGCTCGGTATTAACAGGGAGGATTACCAACATCTGGGTATCTCCTTAACTTAACCCTAATCTAGCACCACTATTAGGAAAATAGGTTAAGCCATGTTGATAACCCAAATCTTACTCATCTGAAGGATAATAGAAATATGACTAATTATTGCATGTAAGCTAAGTTACAACCATTATGCTACCCCTTTGAGGTTTGTTGATTAGTAACTTCCCTTGGGTAGAAGAGTAGAAAACAAAAGACAAGACTTTATCATGTTTAAGTAACATGGTATTACTAATTTCTTCTTTGGTGTGTACCATACTGTGTAGGAGACTGAAACACTAGGTTTAATGGATTATAAGTCAGATAACCACAATGAGTTTTGAAGATTTCCTCTATGTCTTTAATGCTGTTCAGTTTCGCCATGATGGGGCTGGGTATAGATCTGCTTTTGTTCATTAGAGGGTTTGTGTCTGTTCGCAGCTTTCGAATATGATCAGCCGTTGAATCTTTGAATGTTGCCTCTCCCTCATTTTCCATTCCCTTGGAGATTCTGTCAGATGTGGGTAGGGCCTCTAATCTCCATGTCTCTTAACCACTTCTTTTCACTTTTTAAAATTTATAATTTCTTTGGTGATTTCCTTAGATCTGCCACACATTTTATTAGTTCTCCTGTTGTGTCTAGTCTATTATTTAACTATTTAATCCATTGAGGATTTTCTCTTTTAGTGACTGCATTTTTATTTCTGAAAGTTCTATCTGGTCCTTTTCTAAAATTTGCCTGGTCTCTTTTTTCATATTCCCTATTTGTTTTATTATCATGGATTTTATACATTTTATTAATATTTCCTCTCTATATTAACTTTGGGCTTTTACATTGTTCTGTTATCTCTAATTCTTGTTGGGCTTGATGTATCTTCTGCTTGATGCATCTGTTGGTTCCTTCATACGGTTTGTAATTTTTTATTGTGAGCTAATCTTTGGCAGGAGTTGCTAGTTCTATGGTGGGGCCCATATGCCCTGATTCTGAAAGTATTCCTCTAGAGAAGCTTTACATTGCTTTGTCTCAGACCTACGGATTTCAATCATCTTGGACTGGTTTTCCAGTTAATATCTCACCTTGGAGCACATACAGTAGAGGAATGTAAATTTTTAACCATATGTGCTGAAAGCCTAGAATTTCAATTTCGCAAGGTGACTTTCTCTCCCCCCCCCCCTTGAAAAGCCCTAAGCTGATAGCAAGTTTCCATTCCACCTCTTTGGACAATTTGCAGCATTTCTCTAACCCCCTTTTCATAGATGTGGTGGTTCTTGAAGGCTCTGAACTACCTACAGGTGACATATCCAGAATTCCACTTTGCCCTGGCCAAGGCTGCATCACTGATCTTGTGTGGGCTTTGAAATCCCTTCCACCTAACCACTAGGACCCATGTGCAATCCTGAAATCTCAGCGGGCAATTCGAGTGTCAGCTACCATGGCACCAGCTCGTGCTATCCCTCGGGCTCGGGCTTTTCTCTTCTCTTCTGGCACCTGGTGCTTCCCTTTCTCTTTCAACAAGTGTTTGCTGCCCTTTCCTTGCACTTCCATGTGTACATAGCAGGAGCGGCCGGATGGCATCTGTCTGCCATGTTGCCATAAACCACAGCAAGTTTTTTGCAAGCATAACAGGTTCTCTTCTGCAGTGACTTGAGTTTGAACCCTGGATCCACCACTTCCTCGCAGTTTTATCTTGGGCAAACATACTAACGTTTCTGAGCTTCGGGAATAGAATAGAGATAAATACTGACTTTCCTGGGTTGTTGGGAAAATTAAACATCTAATGCATATAAAGCTCCTTGCCTAGCGCCTGGCACAGAGCAAGCCAGAGCTTCTCAGCATCACTATCCCCTGGGCAACTTTTCAAAAATCGAGATTTCTGGGTGCCACCCCTTGGCAGTTCTGACTCATGGAGTCAGAGGTAGGGCCCAGAAATCTGCATTTTGCAAAGCTCCACAGGTGATCCTGATATGCCACCAAGTTTGAAAACACCCTAAAAGGTATTCAAAAAAATGTTAAATAGGTTCATTGTTCCCAAATTTCTAAACACTGTCAAACTCATTCATTTCCCCCACCCTGATATTTTCATCTCAGATGCGGGGAGGCAGTAGAGAAAAACAAGCGTCTTATCACCGCAGACCAGAGGGAGTACCAGCAGGAACTCAAAAAGAATTACAACAAGCTGAAAGAGAGCCTTAGGCCAATGATCGAGCGGAAAATTCCAGAACTCTACAAGCCCATATTCAGAGTGGAGAGTCAAAAGAGGTAAGAGCAGGGCAGAGGAGGCTTCCTCCTGGGGGATAAAAGCGAGCACATAGGCCCAGCAGATTGAGGCGTGATCTGCTGCACGTGGGGAGTTGCAGACCTGGGGGTGGGGGCGGGAGTGGGGCCTGGGATCAGAGAGCCGGCCAGAGCTTGCTCCACTCTGCTTCCGTCCTCCCCAGACCTTCCCTTTGTCCTCCACCGGAACCCTTGGTGTTGGTCTTGTGCCAGTGGTCTTCCCAGAGCCAAATGATGGCCTGTGTTGGTTTTTTCTGTTTTGTTTGTTTCGCCACAGTGTGAAGGGGTCTTAGCCCTTTCACTTATTATTGACTGGTTCTCTATGACTGATGTCCCCTTCTGCTGGGTGATTTCCGCCCTCCCTCCCTTTAAAAGGCTCATTGATCTTTCTTACTTCTGTGTGCCCTCTCTCTCCTATCTTAATTTCAGGGACTCCTTCCACAGATCTAGTTTCAGGAAATGTGAAACCCAGTTGTCACAGGGCAGCTAAGCAAAGCCATCTCCATGCATGGAGACTGGGGCCCTGCAACCCTGGAGAAGGACTCACTGGTACTTAAAACATAAGACATTTGCAACCCAGGACCAGCCACGTACTCCCTGAACCACCAGCACTCTGAAAGCTTCGGGATCCAAGGAACCATGGAATTACACCCAGGTGGACTCTGACCAGATTTTGGCCCTACAGAGGGAAGGGAGGCAGATGGAGGATCTGTGTATTTATTAAAGTGTGTATTTTCACAGTATTGTACAAAACAAGGCATAGGTAGCTTCTCCTGCTCGCTGGTCAGTCACTGTCCAGCTGACAGAGGTGACTTCCTCTGGCCTATATTTGAATTTACAGGATAAGCTCAAACTGCCCAAAGCAAAATAGAAAAACTGTTCACAAACCTATTCAAATTGAACTTCACTCTTTATGGGAAGGGAAGATGAACTTGTAGGAGTGGGAAACATTTTCAATACATCTATAAGGGGAAGCCTTACTAAAATTCTAAAAATCATGATGGTTGGAAATTTGAGAATCTATCGAGTATTTGTGAACTTGTAGGGTAACTTTTTTGGGGTAACTTTTTTTGTTACCCTTTTGGTAATGGTGGTTAAGTGTTGTATAGTTATTTTTGCTTTGCTATAAGTTAATTTAACATGCATTTATAGATGAACACACTCAAAGCACTGATTTAGAAGATACATGGTACTTGGACAGTCAGCCAAAAATCATGGATACTGCATTCATTTAAATGGAAACAATTTCCCTATAATGCTTTGCTTTTTTTCTTATGCTTGCTCTTGCTTACTCTCTCTTTTTCTCCTCTCTGGGACCAAGTTTATTTTTATAAAAGAATAATATCTCTGTTTTCATTTCAGAACATTGTGTTGTCAGCATATGTACATCAGCTACAAGATATATTCAGCTTTGAATTCTCTTGACAATGTACTTTAAGAGAAAGATGAACAAAGTTATTATTTGAGAATTAAATTATATATTTTTAATATAAGAGATGACCTTGACTGATCTAAAAATGTAATATGAATTACAGGCAAAATGTTTCCCTTTGCAACTCGCGTTTTGTGTTTTATTTTGTTTTGACAATGCTTAATATTTCGCAAAGCACTTCAGAGAAGAAGAAAGATACATAATAGTGGCTTTGGTCATATAGTGGCACTTTTTATGCCATATTTAACCTTGGTGGTCATAAGAGAGAATTTAGTTTGGATATTCCAGAACTTTTGTTTATACTATCAGGTATGCATGAATTTGTATGCAGAAAGGATTTTTTAAAAAAAATAATAATAATTAAACTTACTAGTTTACATACCCAACATTTATTCTTTAGGCACTGGAAGAAGAACTCTTTCTAAAGTATATTATAAACCTAATTGCTTTCTTAAATGAGTACACATGACATACTTTAATTCCATATGTATTTAGTACCTTCTGTGTGGGAGACACTGGGTGAGACCAAGGTCAAAAAACATTGTCACTACCCTCCAAAGCTTCTCTGTTCAGTGAGGAAGATCATACATATGTGTATGCAGCCACAGTACAAAACAAACTAGAATAGAGCCTATAGCATACCATCTTTCCAGAGTGGCTCAAGGATGGCCATCATTATGAACACTTCTTATCTTAGATTCTGCCCTAAAACAAAAAGGATTAGGCACTAACTTACGTAAGGTTGGCTGTTCACTCTAATAGCCCTAATATTCTGGGATATTCAAGACTAAATGTTCCCTGCTTTTAGATACCGGTGTCAATTTGGGTTTTGAGGGTTTTTTTTCTTTTCCAATCTCTCTTGTACCACAGTGGGTATACTTGCTTCATGAGTGCAGAACTATGTTCATTGAAGCATTCTTACTCTCTAACCCTGTACTCAACACATAGAAGACCCTCAATATTTGTTAAGTCTGGCATGGTGTCTCATGCCTGTAATTCCAGTGTTTTGCAGGCAGGATCGCTTGAAGCCAGGAATTCAAGAACAGCGTGGGCAACATATCAAGACCTCATGTTTACAGAAAAAATTTAAAAATTAACTGGGTATGGTGGCGTGTGCCTGTGGTCCCAGCTAGTTGGGAAGCTGAAGCAGGATTGCTTGAGCTCAGGAGATTGAGGTTACAGTGAGCTATGATAATGCCACTGTACTTTATCCTGAGCATCAGAGCAACACCCTGTCTCAAAAAATAAAAGGGGGGGGAATGTGTTAATTGACTAAATGAATGAATAAAGTATGAGTAGGCCTGCTTCTAGAAGAACAATGCCCAATAAAAATATAATGCAAGCAACATATATGGTTTTTAAAATTCTAATAGACACATTAAAAAATAATCATGAAAAGAAACCAGTAAAGTTAACTTTACTATTATATTTTATTTAACTCAATACATACAAAATATTATTTCTATGTATCATCAATATTAAAGATTATTAATGAGACATTTTATATTCGTTTTTTAATCTAAGTCTTTGAAATCTGCTGCATAGTTTATACTTAGAACACATCTCAGTTAGGACTAGCCATATTTCAGGTGCTTAACAGCCACATGGGGCTACTGGCTACCATATTGGACAGTGCCATTCTAGAAGCTTCCAACTTTTCTAACTAGATGCCTCTGATCCGTGGACTCAGAATATAGATACCCAAAGAAGTGAGAATTGAGTCTAAAGTAAGAATGACAGAATTCTGATTGAGAGCCCCATGGGCTTACCTGAGAGAGAAACTTGTGGAGTTGGTGAGTACAGACTCATCCATATTGGCAGTTCAGGCTCTTTCTGGGCTAACTCCTGGCTCTTTTCTCAATTCCAGATAGTTAAGTGGGGGCATGGCTCCACTTTTTAAAGTAATGGCATAAACAAAGAACTTGGGTTTTGGTCCTCTGATTTTGTATCCTAAATATGGGATTAGGAAAGAAGTATTTTAAACATTCCTAAAAGTAAAGCAAATTAGGCCTTTTGTTTCCTGAAAATTAGAGAAAACTTTTATGTCCTGATAGCCTTCTTGATTTTACTTTGGAAAATCCTTCTATGAAAGCTTATTAGAGAATCTTCTGATAAGCTTCATGCCTCCCCTCCTTTAGCAAGGTCAAGGGTGCAACTGTCACTATCACGTAAGAATGTCAAGAAAATTAAACATGAATATACTGCATAGGCTTGATTGGGCTTGTCATGCCACACATTGTCTTATACTCCAGAATTCTGTTCTGTAAGTAGTGCTTGCCATGACAACAGATTTGTTTTAAAAAGAAAACAAACTTTTAGAGCTGTCATTGATAATTGTGGTTACAAGTATGTTTTCAAAGACAGGGAACCTTTGTTTTGAATGTATTTTTACATGCTTATTATCTTGTAAAAGCTACTATTGATTATGTATCATTTTGCAAAAGCAAAACAAAAAAATCCTACAGTTTCTAAATATATTCTTAGAGTGCTGAGTACATCCAAGGTATGACTGCTGTGTATTCCTTTTGGGGCTTAAGAAAAATGCTTCCCCATCTGCAGGCTTGACTGAGTCTAAAGGAGGTGGCTTATTCACATCGCTGGAAAGTTGTGGTGGCTATTGATGGAGGATTCAGTCTGCTCCAGGTGGCCTTCTTCCCCAGGCTGCTGAGTGTCCTCATGACATGGCAGCCGATTTTCCCAAGGTTGAGTGATTCCGAAAAGCAAGGTAAAAATGGCAATGTCTTTTATGACCTAGCCTCAGAAGCCACACACCCTCACATCTGCCCTATTCTATTGTTTAGAAGCAAGTCTCCAAGTTCAGCCCACATTCAAGAGGAAGGAAAACAGGCTGTACATTTTAAATGAAGATTGTTTAAATAATATTTGCGTGTATTTTAAAATTGCCATAATGAGGCACATTAAACCTTTTTATTTGCCGTGTCACTGAGGTAAATGGATAAGGATACTTGCTTCTGGAAATGACCAGTCCTGGAGCTCTGGCTGTCCTGAGTCCCTCCTACAGGGCTAAGATGATCAGCATCAAGGAGTATCTGTAACCCAGCACCATGGGTGCACCATGGCACACCACTTGGGAAGCTCTACTAGCCTAAGGGTAGGTTTCTTTTTTTTGTAACAGAAAACGAAACTCAAATTGTCATTTTTAAAGGGGGTGGTAGAGTTATTAGCTCATGTAACAAACAGAATAATTCAGAGGAAGTATTGATTTAGGACCCACACAACGTGTCCTAGTTCCATTTTCCATCTCTGCTTCCTCTTGGAAGACCACCCTCAGGCTTTCAGCAGTGCTCCCAGGAAATTCTGGGATCATCCATCATGGCAAAGGCAGTCCTGAGCCTCACAATCTCATGCCACCAAGCCCCACAAAGAAGAGAGCTTCAGTGTCCCAGAATTCCCAGCAGAAATCCTTGGGTTCACTCTAATTGGAAAGTTAAACATGAATATCCTGCGTAGACCTGATTGGGCTTGTCATGCCATGCATTGTCTTAAACTCCAGAATGTGGTTGGCCCATGCTAACCAAGGTTTATCCCTCGAGCTAAAAGTGGGGTCGACACCCATGTGGCTAACAACAAGGGAACTGGGAGTACCTCAGGGAATCAGGAAGAAAGGGGAAAGGTAGTTAAACCACAAGGCTCACTACAGGACATTTTGCTTTAAAGCAAACTCATTCAGGGGAAGGAATCTGTGTGGAGACCAAGATTATAGTCTAACTCATATAATGTTCACAACCACTGGCCTGGCAGGACCATCCCCAGGAGGGGATGTGAAGGAGATATGAAGGAAGACTTAGGGCTTATCATATCTTGAAGGAGAGTGTGGATTGAATAGATGGAGGTGGAATGTTTTGCTGTACCAGCAATTCATCTTCTGAGTATCTTGCCACAAATGGTACAAATGATCAGGAATCAGAGCTATAGAACTGGGGTTGGGGGCCAGTGGGAGAAGAATGAAGGCAACAAGGAAATGGAATAAAACTAGGTTTGAGTAGAAAAAGACAAGCATCAAAATGATGTCTTTTGCTCATCATTGTGTCCCCAGTGCCTTGCTTATAATGAGTGTTCAATGAATGTAAGTGACCAAAGTAATGAATTAAGGTAGCTATTAGTGATGATTTCTTGTAGCTCTTGGCTAAAATCAGCACCTGAGGGAGGATAAACAAGTGGAGTCAATTGGTCCCAAAAGAATGGCTTTCTATTCACTCTTGACTTTATCTATAATTAATGCATGGGTAAGAAGAGGATTTTTCCCTTTCCTACTGCTTTCCCATGAACCATCCTGGACCCTATCTTTAACAATCATAAACCTAACCTCGTAAAGCCTGATTAAAAGACTAAATCTGGCTGGGCATGGTGGCTCACACCTATAATTCCAGCACTTTGGGGAGCCGAGGTGGGAGGATCACTTGAGGTCAGGATTTCAAGACCAGCCTGGGCAACATATCAAGACCTCTACAAAAAAATTAGCCAGGCATCGTGGTGCAGGCCTATAGTCCCAGCTATTCGGGAAGCTGAAGTGGAGGATTGCTTGAGCCCAGGAGTTAGAGGCTGCAGTGAGCTATGATGGCACCACTGCACTCCAGCCTGGGTGATAGAGTGAGACCCTGTCTCTTAAAAAACAAACAAACTAAATCTCTCATAGTCACTAAGTTTTTAGTCATGAAATTACTAGAGAAAATGCAGCATAGCCTTGGTTGAAAACCATTTGGAGAGGTAGGCACATTCCTCATCCCTAAATCCCGATGCTACAGCCCATCTTTGGGGAACATTGCTGTCTCTAGAACGATGCTACTCAATCCAACCCGGTGCCTACTTTGATGATGCTTTTTGCAGCGTTAGCTTGACAACTAAACAGTTTTCACCTTTACTCTTTTTCGCACATATTCGATTGCAAATCACTGGTAGCAAGGATAAGGGAGTGATTTTCAAGGTGTTATGGCTCTAAAAGTTACCGCTGAGCAATCAGAACCATCATCAGTTCCGTTATGCAATGAAAGAACAGGACATGGATGAACAAAGTGTTCTGTTATCAAGCAGGATTGTCAGGGTTATTAGTGAGATAAAAAAAAAAAAAAAAAAGTCTGTGTGAC